GTACCCAAAGCGATATTTATTACCTTGTCTCTAAAAGCGTCTATAATTACAAAGAAGTATTAATTAAAGAAAAGTGTTAATAGCAGAATGAAAGGGATTATACAATAATTGCATAATGACCCAGTACCATTTGGAGGTACTTGCAAAGCAAGCGAGGAGGAAAAATTCGAGAATATAAAAATTGAAGAGATTATATATCTATTGTGTTGGTGTCTTGTCAGGGTCGATTGTCGATCGTGATATTTCAGAATTTAAAGGCGGGTTCGGAATTTGTGCGTTGTCGCGACAACGACTAGCGACAATGGCGATATGCGATGCTCCCTTCGCATTCTATTCTGTGCGATGACTTTTTCCATGCACAACAGAACAGGGCGGCAAAGCTTGACTCTCTTCGGCTGCCTTGGTGACAGGGACACGTGTAGGTACACGTGTGTGGAGATCTTAAGACCCATCATTAGTCGCCTACGCGAAAAATAACCGTGAGGAGGGCGATATAAGTACGATGACAATATATGTATATACATATGACGATGCAAAATACACGAGAGAATCTCTCAACAACGTTTCAGACACACTGATGGTATGTCGTTTATTGTCGCAACCATGCCGACAACAATTGTGTCGCATTCACAATGGGTGTCAGACCATTCGTAAACACCGGAAGCGACTCTCGTTGCAGTCAATGAACGAGGATGATTTTTTTTCTCTACCTTCGCCACCTCCCAAGCGTAAGATACCAAAAGGGATTTTAATTTCTTCTTAGGATAGTCAAATAATATTATTAGAAAATTTTTCTCTTTAGTTTCCAGTTCGTTAAACTTGGCTCAATAAAATAACTAGAATCTAGTGCGACTTAGAGCAGAGAATAACCGAAAATTAAGAACTGCAACTACTAGGATCTATAGAAATCCTAAGATTTACAGAAACACTAGGATCTGTATATAAATACTACGATCTATTGAACTGTTTGATCTACGTAACAATTACTATAACCTATAGAAATACTAGAATCTAGAAATTCTAAGATTTATAGAAATACTAGGATCTATATAAATACTACGATCTATAGAACTGTTTGATTACAAAGCAATACAAGGATCTACATAACAATTACTACAACCCATAGAAATATTAGGATCAATAGAAATTATGCGATTTCTACAAATACTAGGATCTATATAAATACTAAAATCTGTGGAAATATTAAGTTAAATAAAAATTCCAGAACCTACATAACTATTTCTATAAATATCGAAATTCTAAGATCTACAGGAATACTAGGATCTAGAATTACCAGAAAAAATAGAAATACTAGGATCTAGAGAAATACTACCGTCACTATAGAACAAAATTAATAAGAGTAGTGAAAATTGAAGAGTAGGAAGATTAGTAAAAATTACAAAAATTAGGAAATATTAAAGATTAGAACGATTAGTAGAGATTAAAATTTAGGAAGATTAGCAGAGATAAAAGTTTAGAAAGATTAAAAAGATTAGTAACGTAAAGATCAAGAAGATTAGTAAAATAAAGATTTGAAAAAGTAGTAAAGCAAAGATTAGGAAAATTAGTAAAATAAAGATTAGGAAGACGAGTGAAGTAAAGATTACGTCACGACAAGAGAGTAAAGGAAGAGCAGAAATGGTCCTAGGGCAACCCATGTGTTTTTCTACAGAGCGAGAGTGGAGGGGCATAAATACAGTTGCATAGATGAATTGGTTTACCTCAACGAAGCGGAGTGAACGAGTCTTTCTAAGTGGAAGTAGTACTACGACGAGGAGTGGGAGCATCGGCCTCTGAAGATCCCGCAGAGCGGTCTCGCCCGTTCTCCAAACCAAAGAATATTAACGTAGTACACGTGACTCGATACTTCAAACAAAAAAAAAACTTCGCTAATTACAAATTTCAACATTTTTCTCCCATTCAAAAAATACTGGAACAAAATATTCTAAATTCTAATTTTTCCATAAAGAAAGAGTTTACACTAAATTTTAGTAAAAAAAAAATGTACACTCACTTTTACAAATAAATGTTTAACACAGTTCTAGTTAAAAAAAAACTTTCACCGAAATGTTCACCAATGTTTGATTTTATATTTAAAACAATGTTGCATCTTACTTCTTGAAACTTATTTACAATGTGATCAAATGTTCCTCGTCATTAACTGCCACAAATCATTTTCTTTGACACTTGCCATCGCTAGATGTCCTCTTTAGATCTACATCTAGATGGAATATTCATCAGAGATCGAGATCCCTTCGAATGGAAGAAATCAATCATTGCCGAGAATCTTATACCTTTGCACTTTAGAAACGACATCAATTAAAATTATCTTTAATGAAGCATTAGATTCATTTTCAAATCTCATCTTCCATTATATTATCATCTTGGTTGGTTCTTTTCAACAATTTTTATCATCACAACAATATATTGTGAATTATCTTCTCTTACAATTTATAAATCTATGAACATTTTCTTTAGCGCTGAATCACTACATTACTAGAGTATTGAAGATAAAGTAGATAAAATATAGATCCTAGTGCTTTAATAGTCTAAGTTAACTAGTCTTAACTAGTCTCTAAGTAGTCTTAATACTTTAAACGATCATAGAAAAGTCAAAAATGTGCGAAACAGATCCTACTAATTTTCTAACTTCTAGTAGTTCTGTAAGTGCTAATAGTTTCATAGATCCTGGTAGTATAATAGATCCTAGTGCCGTCAAAGATGTAACTAAAACGGATCCATACTTTCATAAAACATAGTTCCATAATACCTTATTTTTTAATAGATTGTAAATTGTTAATTTTAGAAGTTCCAAATTTAAGTAGAATCTATATTTTAGTACATCTAGATCCTAGTAGTCTCGCGCCTTTTAGTAAGTCGATAATAATTTAACCGATTTACAATTTAACAATAGCTTTATTTCTACAATTTAATAGTAGTTCAATTCTAAGGTTTCCAAACTTAGAAGCTACGAGATTACTAGGATCTATAATCCTATTAATCTCGTAACTTCTAGTAATACGATAATAATTTCTAATCGTGTCAAAAATCCCAGATGTGCTTTAGAAAGGACTATAATGGTTCAATAGTTTCACTGTCTAATCCTAGTTTAATTCTAAGACTTCCAAATTTAAGTGGAATATAGATCCTAGTAATCTCGGAGCTTCTAGTAATTTCATTCTAATTCCTAGTTTCAAGAATCCTAGATGTGCCGCAGTTTGCAATAGTCAACAATAGTTTACCATTTTAATCGTACTTTATAATCCTAAGACTTTCAACCTTATGTGAAATTTTGATCCTAGTAGTATCATACCTTCTGGTAATTCTTCAGTAATTCTTAATCGTTTCATAAATTTTAGGTGTATCACATTTTGAAATGGACTGTAATAATTTAATAATAATTTAATACTTTAATCCTAAGATTTCCGAACTTAAATAGAATATATAGATCCTAGTGACTCTACGTAGAGTAGATCCTAGCGTTGATATAATAAAAAACGTGGTGATTTTGTTAACTAATCAATAAAAATCACTAGCGATTTTAGATCCTTGTGCTTAGTACAAAACGTAGTGTTTTAACTAATTCATGAAATCAATAGTGATTTTAGTAGATCCTAGTGATGCTATAGTACAAAACGTAATGACTTTTTAAATAGTCAATAAAATCACTAAAGATTTTAGTAGATCCTACTGCTGGAATAATACAAAAAGTAGGTACATATTTCAAATGTTGGAATCTGTAAAATCACTGAAGTTTGTAAAATCATAAAGTTCTGGTTACAGTGACTCGGGTGGTTCCCAGTTGTTTGCTCCACAAACTTGAGAGGTTTCATAGATCCTAGTAGTGCTTCGAAACCAACAATACAGTTACATATGTATACTACTAAATTTACTTCAACTGAAACGGTACATAATAGTGATTTTGGTTATCACAATGTCTACAAACAAAGAATTAAGACTTCTTCTGGATGAAAAATTCTTGGATACTAAACTGCAGTAGAAGTATATCTATTAGATCCTAAAAGTCTGCCTAAGCAAACTAAATAAAAAGATAAATAAACACTGTAAAAGAAAGGTACTAATTTCGTAACAATTTTAGGTACTTAATCGTAAGTTGGTTCTGTTTTAATCAGCTCTAATTTAGAACCTTTTTTTAGAGTGAAAAAGATCCTAACCGAAGGTTTAAATTATTTTGGGTACTAAATCGTAATTACTAAATCGTAATTTGGTTCTATTTTAATCAGCTCTACTTTAGAACATTTTTTAAAGTGGAAAAAATTCTAACAGAAGGTATGTTGGGTGTGATTTGCAGTAAGTATCAGCGCAAAGAATCTACGAAATCTTCAAATACGATGCTATCTATTCGATAGGTGATATTCGATGATACGATCAGGTCCAGCAGATGATAATACATCGACAATGGCTGGTAGGATAATAAAGAGGCGATCAATCACGGCAAAGGAGAGCAAAAGACAAAGAATCTCTCGCACATACAGGAGAGAAACTCCACCCAGTGGGGGCATCCAGGGAGCAGGACTGTTGTTTCTTGACTGGAAGTGTAACGGTTCCAGATGGAGCGATAGGATTTGAATGAGTTGGGAGGGTTTGCTCTCTTATAGCAAAGGAGACTGTCGATAGTTAAAGAGAGGATATTGTGGTGGGAGGTTATAGTGAGGAGGCTATCTCTCGTAGGAGTGGAAGCGATGGCAGAGCAGCGGATGGTTTTTCGCAGGGGGAAAGGGAAGTACAGCAGCAGCAGCACCACCAGCAGCAAACATGCAGGCAGGCAGGCAGGCAGGGAAGGATCAGGGGCAGGGAAGGGAGGGAGGACAGGTCGCGTGCCGGCATCAGGCTGACGAGAATATACTTACCTTCCCGACGTATCTCACGGTTATTCCACAACTCGCCGCGACCGCTTCGTTCATCCACACCGATTCACCTACCAACCTACCTACCTACCTACTTACCAACCTACCCACCAACCTACGAGTTCGGTCTCCTCCCCGCCCATCGGAGAGACCCCCAAGTGATTGCTCACTCACTCTTACTTGCTTATACTCTTTAGATCGGCGACTGCTAGCTCTCGCCACGCTTACTCACCACCACGCGGCGATACTACTAGCACGCTGCTAGCGGATTATTATACACGCTAATGCGAACCTCGGACAACCGGACAAACATTAACAGGAGGAGGACCATAACGCCCTGCAACCGCCGGCCCGCCAGTCAGGACCCGACTGTCCTCACGAAGGCACCTTCTCCACACTAAAGGTCCACTTCTGCCAACATTCCTCCAGTTCAACACTCGCCGCTCGACTTCCTCAGCTGTTTCATCTGCTTCACTAAACCCTGGATTCAGTGATCAGTGCCCAAACTTTCGTATCATCCTCAGTGACAATCTCCATATTCCCCAGTGATTTTCACCCCCTCGATTTTTATCAAACTCATCAGTGACATTCTGCAAACACCTATTAGTGACAATACCGCACTACCGAAAGATTATTCCGATTCGATTATCGAGAACAGTGACAAAAGTGACGATTACACTTCAGGACTTTTGGAACTACCTTGGACCTTTAAAGTTCCTAACTACGTTAATTCTTTAAGTTAGTTCATTAACCATTAAATCCTTGAATTCAGAAGAATGAACTAGAGTGCTTCTTTTTGGAATCGACAACTAATCACATCAATCAGAAAATTAAAATTGGATCAACACTCGAACCTGTTCCTCAAGTCAGTTTTTCCAAAAAAAACAACTTCGAACTTCCGCTAAAGTTCAAATTTTCGAATTTAAACACTGAAACATTGAAACTTGTCAAAGATTTAAAACTTTCAAGTAAATATATCATGTTCGAGAAGAGAAGCTTTTCCTCCCAAGAATATTGAAAGACTAATCAATTACTCACCAATAAGAGAAAAATCTGAAGTGAAAACTTTGAAACTCTTGAAACATCTCTATAGTAAATTCGATATACTTTTCCCGAAAACAAACTCAAAGATTCGAAAATCAGAATCGAACAAAAATTATCCTTAAAAAGCAACAATTCACCACTGTTATTGACAATGACATAAGAAATATCAATAAACTAAAAACCGTTTGAGAGTAAAGCATAATCACGATTCGTGTACACGTGCTCTTGGGTGATCTTTAAAAAAAATGATGCTGACAAGGACGTTACGAGTCATCTTTGATTAATTTGGATATTAAGTGTGTTAACAGTGATCATATTTGTTAGTGAATAATACCAAAAGGAACAAAAAAATAATAATTGTTTTCTGTGTTAAACCCTAACTATTCTTGTTGTTTTCATTCTACCTGCACTTTCCCCTAAAAGAAAAAAATTAAAAAACGTGACAGTGATTGCTCATCATAATTGCTCACGGATCGTGGAATGATAAACAAGGTAAATACTTGATTGATTTCTAATGAATATTTCCGTATCGACAGTTGTGTACTTTATTCTACTTGAATATATTTATGGAGCGAAAGATGATCGGTTTAAAATTATTCATGTTCCTTCAGATTAAATCTTTATAAACGTCCAAGTTCTAAATTTTTCCTCTCTTTTTTCTTTTGTTAACATTGTCTACCTTGATACTTTAAAACAATAATATTGCCAAAACAGATTCTTTTCTTTTGAGACATAATTTTGTTTTGTTACCAAAATATTATTTTTGCACGAACACAATTTTTCTGCGGATATCAAATTGAGACAAAAATCAACATTTTGATTCGCTTTTTGTCTCAATTTGATATCCGCAGAAAAACAGTGTAAAAAAATTATTATTCTATTGAAATTAATGTTTACATTCATAAAACTATTTTTCTGCAATGTTAATGTTGCCCTTCTGTAAATTTAATATTCTATGAAAACTTATTGTGAATCTGTCAAACTAATGTTGTCCTATAAATTTAATGTTCTTCTAATTTTTAGAAGTTCTTCTTCTGATTTTTTCTGCTAAATGTTGTCCTTCTGTAAATTTAATGTTCTTCAGATTTAAGTTTAAATTTCGTAAATTAAATGTCATTTGTCTGTTAAAACTTGAATGTCTGTTAAACTAATGTCTTCCTTCCGTAAATTTAATGTTATCCTCCCACGACTTTAATGTTGTTAATTAATGTCTTCGATTAAAACTTCTTGTGTACCTGTCAAACTAAAGTTCTTCTTCCGTAAATTTAATGCTATCCTTCTGCAATTCTAATGTTGTTCTTAAATTAAAACTTCTTGAGTCTCTGTCAAACTAATGTTGTCCTTCCGTAAATTTAATGCTATTCTTCCGCACTATAATGTTGTTCTTCTATTAAAACTTCTCGAGCATATGTCAAACTAATGATGGTTCTTGAAAATTAATGTTATCCTGCAACTTTAGTGCTATCCTATTTTTTTACCCTTCTATTAAAATTAATGTTGTGCCTTTGTAAAACTAATACTGTTATTTTGACAAACTATTATTAGCTTCTGTCAAATTAATGTTATCCTTCTGTAAATTTAATGTCGTCCTCCAACCTTAATGTTGTGCATCTGTAAAATTAATGTTTTCCTACTAAATCTTTATGTTGTACATCTGTAAAACTAATGTTGTGTTTATGGAATTTTATTGTTTTCCCTCTGCAACTGTATTTTTTGTCCCATTAAAACTTTTTGCCGTTTTTTGTCAAACTAATGTTCTTTTGTAAAATTAATGTTGTCCTTCAATAAAAATCAAAAGGGTTTTTCGCAACACATGAAAAAAACATCAGAAATATCGTTCAGTAAGCCAAAAATTTCCTCACGAATCTTTAATTCTACACTTTTGTAACATCAGTTATGTCCTTAAAAAATTAATTTTCTTCTTAAAAAAAAAAACCAAACTTAAACTTTCCTAATATCAATTATGCATTTCTGGTAGCACCAAGAATATTTTCTATCTAATGTTATCTACCAAGGATTAATCAAATTGTACTTTCTAACTTATGTGCTCTTCTTTAAATCGAAACTTGCGGTTTTTTGAACATCATCTTCTGTACCAGTAAAAATTCTCTTCTCTAGATTAAATTTCTTTGAGAAATTAATTTTCCTCCTTGCTCATTTGAAAACCTATTTTCCTCTTTTGAAATATTTTTGTCCCTCTCTAAAATATTAATTTTCTTACCGCCTTCTCTAAAAATATCAATTTTCCTTCATTGGAACATTAATTTTTGAAACTAAAACATTAATTTCAAAGTATCTACAAAAAAAAATTGATTCACTTTTTTTTACAATTAAACGCGATATTTTCTCAAGAAACGTCTTCGCTTTCACGCCAAGAAGATCATATTTCCAGTTTGGTGGTTTCTCATAATCGTTTCCGTATTATTGAAAAGTAAATTCAACCCAATCCTTGAGCGGTTTTACGCGAATAGACCATTTACGCATTCAGCGAAACTACTTTTCCTTTTATGTGGTCTACTCCTCTCACGAGCCAGAATGCCATTTCTGTATGAGCTTTGAAAGTTCCACTTGGATTAAAGAATTCCTTTAGAGGGACAAAAAAAATACATTTTCCCCTTGGAGAAAAAAAAACCACCATCGTTCCAAACTAGCAAAAAAAATTAATTTCTTTCCCTCTTTTAAAATGTTACTTAAAAATCATGATTTAAAACAAAAAAATCTCCCCTCTAAAACTTTTTTTTTTCCTTATAATCAAATCCAATTTTCCGATATATGAAAATTGTATATATCTAATTCTGAATTAGAGAATATCGAATCCAATTGAAATTCTATTTTAAAGTATATTTATAATGCGCCCACGCTTCATCCTTATATCAGAGAGAAGAAGTTGTACTGGCGATTGAGAACGGGCCGTTTGTTTTGCGATTCAGAAAGATTTCCTCGTTCATAAATTTCAATGTCTTTAAAGACGTGAGAAACGTTACTTTGACTTTGGCTTCAGTTCATTCGTAAAGCCGCAAACAAAAGATTTTTTTTTCTTTTCCTCCCCACATCCCCACCTCGCCATCAAAAAAACAATCGATTCCGTCAAACTTTCAATCGTAAAGTCCAACAAAGATTTCCATCTTATTTTAGAAGGATAGAAAAAATATTTGATAAATGCGGATAAAAAATTTTTTTTCATCTTCTTCCTCCCTTCAAGAAACAATTGAGACCTTTTTGAACCTTCATAAGTAAGGATTTTATCCTCTTGCGAGGATTTATTTCAAATTCTAATCAATTTTAATTTTTTTAACTATTTAAAATTTAATTTTTTAAATTAAATTAAATGTAAAAAAAAATTTAATATAATTTTCCAAATTTAATTTATTTTAATTTTTAAAAAAAATTAATAATTTTCCTTAAATATTAATTAAATTTTTTTTAAGGACTATATTTAGTTCAAAATAAATTTTGAATCTAAAGTTATTCTGATAAATAGAAAAATTCATATCAATTTTTTGTTTGAGTGGAAAAAACGAATAAGGTAATTTTTACTATATTTTTTTAGTAAAACAATGATTTTTAATTAAACGTATAAATAATTTTCAAATTTGCATTTTTAACGTCTATATTTAATTTCGAAACGACAGTCATTCTAGTAAATAAAAAAATTCATACTTATAAATTTTTTGTTTGAGCGGCAAAATCGAATAAAAAAAATTGTATTATTTTTGGAGGAATTTTAAATAATTTTTATGATTTTTTATTTTTATTTAGTAAAATTTAATTCAAAAATAGTAAAAAGTGTCATACAAAACAGAAAAATTTACAAAAAGAAATTTTACTATTTCCGTAGACAATTTTACAACAATTTTTTATTTAATTCGTACGTATAGTAAAATTTACTTTATAAAAAGTAAAAACTGCCTCAGAAATGAGTAAAAATTAGAAAGTCAAATTTTACTATTTCCGTTGTAAATTTTACTACTATTTTGCAAAATTTTATTTTAAAAATTGAATAAAATGATTCTGCTACAATTTTGAAAATTTGATATGAATCGTATAGTAAAATTTACATTAAAAACAGTAAAAGTTGACATTGAAATGAGAAAAAATAACAAATAGAAATTTTATTCTTTCTGGAAAAAATTTAACTACAAATTTGTGAATTTAATTTCTTACATATAGTAAAATTTACTTTAGAAATAGTAAAAAGTACCATAAAAATGCGTAACAATTAAAATCACAAATTTTACTATTTAAGGTGTAAATTTTACTACAATTTTGTAAATTTCATTTCAAACATACAATAAAAATTTAATTTAAAAATAGTAAAAGTTAAAAATTGCCACCAGAAATAAGTGAAAATTACAAACACAAATTTTATTTTTTGTATAGTAAATTTTACTACAAGTTTGTAATTTTCTTTTTCGTAGGTATAGTAGAATTCACTTTAAAAATAGTAAAAATTGTCACAGAAATATGAGTAAGAATTACAAACACAAATTTTACTACTTCTGTAGAGAATTTTACTACAATATTGTAAACTTTATTTCAAACTAATTTTATTTTATGTAAATTTTATTTCAAATTTACATTAGAAATAATAAAAATTGACATAGAAATGATAAAAAAATTACAAATATAGAAATTTTACTCTTTCCGGAAAAAACTTGTTATACAAATTGTAAATTTTTTTTCAAAAGTATAGTAAAAATTGACTATAAGAAGAATAACAATTGATAAAACAGTTGAAATTAACAAAGAAATAATAAAAAATTACAAAAATTAATTTTACCATTTCCGAAGTAAATTTTACTTCAGTTTTATAAATTTTATTTCAAAAGTGTAAAAATTTACTATAAAAACCGTAAAAATTAAAGAAATAGTTAAAATTGCCATTAAAAAAAGCAAAAATTTCAAATATAAATTTTATCATTTTCATAGTAAATTTTACTACAGTTTTGTAAATTTTATTTTAAATATATAGTAAAAATTGACTATAAGAAGAATAATAATTGAAAAAACAGTTGAAATTGACAAAGAAATAATCAAAAATTACAAATATTAATTTTACCATTTGCGAAGTAAATTTTACTACAATTTTTAAAATTTTATTTTGAAAGTATAGTAAAAATTTGCTATAAAAACAGTAACAGTTAAAGAATAGTTAAAATTGCCATCAACAAAAGCAGAAATGTAAAATATAAATTTTATTATTTCCGTAGTAAATTTTACTAGTTTTGTAAATTTCATTTCAAAAGTATAGTAAAAATTGACTATAAAGAGAATAACAATTGAAATAGACAAAGAAATAATCAAAAATTACAAATATTAATTTTACCATTTCCTAAGTAAATTTTACTATACAATTTTGTAAATTATATTTCAAAAATACAGTAAAAATTTACTTCAGAAATAGTAAAAACCGTTATAGAAGTTTACAAAAATGACTAACAATTGAATCTACATTACTCTGACAGTATGGTAAAAGTTACTATACACTTTCC